TGTATCAATTCGGTAAGAATTTCAAAACGGCTTTTTGCATTAAAAAGAGGATACTTTAATTAATAATTGGTGATATTTCCACAAGGATCCTTCAAGAAATTAATTTTGTAGCTATAAAATTAACTTGTTGGATCTTGATACATTCCTAAATTCATTTTTGATGCATATTAATCCAATTTCAATTAATTTCTTATTAATTTAAAGTTTTTCGTTAGTTACAAAGTGATTTTCGTAAATGAACACCCGTTTTAATTTATCATTACAATTGGAAGCAATAAAATGCCACATTACGACATTAAACAACACAATAAACTAATTATTATGATACAGTTGGAGATAAAAATTGTTACATCAGATAAAAATTAAAAATATAATGTTTCTCGAATATTATTCTTTTTACAAAACGTATCACGTTTCGGTTGATTAATCTGGGAATATTAAACAATTTAATAAGTGTTATTGATGATTAGGAAAAGGAAAAAATGACTCATTAATTTTACTACCTTTTAATTCTTTATCATTTTCACTCACATTTCTATGCACTCTTAAAATAATTATTATGCACTTTTAACAGAAAATAAAAAATTACGGTTAAGTTCACAAAAAGAATATCACCTCTTTTTAAATGGTCGTGATTTTATTATAACCTTGTTTGAATCAAAAAATAATCATCAAGGGTTTTAAGGTTTAAATTTTTTTGTGTTTCGGTTAAACTAATGCCCTTTTTTATAAATCTAGAAATGTGCCTTTTCTACCTGATCTGTTCTCAAGGTCCCTTTGCAAAAAATAGAAATTGTTTCAAGGAATTCCCGAACAGAAGGGCACCACATGGTTGTGTTTGTAGATAATGTCCTTTTAAAAATAAAAGGAATGTTGAAGCCGATTTTTTCGCAGATTTGTTTAGAATTTAAAATTTCAAAGCCGTACGCGCTTAAGTTGGGAATTGTTGTGAAAATATAAACTTCATCCTAAAATGTAAACAGATTTTACACTTTTTTTAGATCACAACCTTGCTCTAAATTCTTGATTTAGTGACTTTTAAACAAATACCCGATTGTGTGTGTTGAATAATTCTGTCTAATAAAAATCGGTTTTTTCAAATTGTTTATCTAACAACTTAAATTTTTTTCTAAATTCATTTTAACCTTGTAAAGTCGGTGTAACGACCATAAAACACGTTTCATTATATTGACGTTTGACTTTTTAGAACCAGTATTGAAGTTTGAAATTAAACAAGGACATTTTTCACAATTACTTCTTACTTCTTAATTTGCAATTGATTAAATTTTTCAATCGAAGCGTTCGAAATTGAAACCAATCTGTTCAATTAAAGATGCAAAATACAAAATAGAGCGGAGATTATTTAATTTAAGGCGATCCCGTTTAAATTAACATCAATCTTCATTAAAAGTGTCTCCTTAATTCGAATTGTAGGGTCACATTGTAAATAAAATCATAAGAAAACGATATATTTTTATGAAAAAAATTAAATTTGATTTTTTTTGTAGATGCAAGTAATTCTTTACCACAACCAAAGCGGTTCAACAGCTTTTACAGGCGATTTGAAGCAAAAAGAAGTCCACAAAGCCATAACATTACATCCGGTGAAGCAACCGCAATACATGCAACGTTTGCATAAGTATGTTAAGGTCAGTATTAAAAGATTAATAATTTTGTCTTAATAAGACAAAGAAAAAGTTTAATTTCTTGGAACAAACCCCTTTTTGTTCTTTTTAATCTCAGTAATAAAGAAGTTGTCATAAAATGGGTTCGTTAACCTAAACATTGAGCATCTGCTTCAGAAATAAATGCATTTATAAGTTCTTATGTACTATGTAGAATGAGATAATATTAGAACTTTTAGATATAGAGTTGCTTCAATGAACATCTTTTATTGTAAACACGATTGTTTGTAATTTGGTTAAAATAGATTTTCTTTGTTCTATAATTTTAGAGAAATCGAGTTAAAAGAAAAATGTTTGCATCATAAAATTAACAAATTAAGCCAAACTTATCTTTTTAACTGGATATTTCCTTTTTTTCGTTCATCATTAAAAAATTACTCGAAAAAACCATAAATGTAATGTACAAAACGTATAATTCAACTATTTTTAACTCGTGTAGAAGACTTGAGAACTCGAGGAGTAATAACAACCCAGACCTTGCACTTAACAGCCGTTAAACTCGAACAACGGATTCGTTTTATGGAACAAGAACCATCAAGCTATCAATCAAATCAAAGCCTAATACTCAAAGTTTTTTAAACAACTATAAAAAAATCTTGTTACATAATCATAATCGCCTTGTAAAAAATCCAATTAAAACGCGATAAGATCAAAGATTTAGAAAGTTATAATATTAGGATTTTATCTTGTAAAGTTGTTTCGTGTTTATTAAAAGAGAAAAAATCTTTATCGATTTCCAAACTCGTAAAACCGTAGTAAACTCATTGATAACCGTTATCTAATTTTTAGGGCTTGAAAATACAATCGCTGAGTCAAGAAAGCGTGGATCTTCATCGCGATATCGCTTCTTCAATGGCACAATTGAACGTTCCAATTTCAGAGATATCGAACGCGGATTTAGCCAAAAACATGAAATTATTCGACGAAGAAGCGGGATCTGACGATTATTTAGGCGATCCAACAATTTTAGGTAAAATCATTTAATCTAAGAAAAATAAAACGAAATTAAATATTTTTTTTTGGGACAGGTATTCCTCCGAGTTACTCAAGATTTAAACCAAAAGAACTCCGAGATGTCCTTGATTGGGAATTTATCAATAGAACGGTGTTTTCAGCCAAAGATTTAAATCCTAAAAGAAGAATACCTTCTTCTATGAGAGAAGGAATCGATGATATCCTTAGAGAGGTAATTATAAAAACAGAGAGGTTTTTTTGCTACAAAAAGAACATTATTGAAATATATATGTTATAGTATATGCGTAATAGACAAACAACCTCTATGAGAAAACTGACTGAGTTATATAGCCAAATATTTATTTATTTATCAAATAACATAAAATCCAACAGTAATGACACGTGTAAAAAACACTATACAGAAAAAACAAATATCACGTTGTTTTCCTCAAATTTATGAATGAATTAATTCCACGAAAATTTTATAATTAAAACAAAATTAATGTTTTCATTAACAAAATCGTTTAGGAAACTAAATTTGCTTTAATTTGATACCAAACACGCCATATTTATCTCCTAAAACGGTTAATTTTTGGTTTTGTTGCCGCCATTTTGTTTTTATTTTAACTATTAGCAACATTTTTGTTTATAACAATAAATGAGTCATGTTTGGTATCAAAATTCACGAAATTTTCTCCTCTTTCACGCTAAAGCATTTTCTGATCGTTTTCCTCAAATTATGAATGAATTAATTCCGCGAAAATTTTATAATTAAAACAAAATTAATGTTTTCATTATCAAAATCGTTTAGGAAACTAAATTTGCTTTAATTTGATACCAAACACGCCATATTTATCTCCTAAAACGGTTAATTTTTGGTTTTGAAGCCGCCATTTTGTTTTTATTTTAACTATTAGCAACATTTTTGTTTATAACAATAAATGAGTCATGTTTGGTATCAAAATTCACGAAATTTTCTCCTCTTTCACGCTAAAGCATGTTTTGGTTGTTTTCCTCAAATTTATGAATGAATTAATCCCACGAAAATGTTATAATTAAAACAAAATTAATGCTTTCATTAACAAAATCGTTTGGGGAATTAAATTCGCTTTAATTTGATACCAAACACGCCATATTTATCTCCTAAAGCGGTTAATTTTTGGTTTTGAAGCCGCCATTTTGTTTCTATTTTAACTATTAGCAACATTTTTGTTTATAACAGTAAATGGGTCGTGTTTGGTATTAAAATTCACGACATTTTCTCCTCTTTCACGCTAAAGCATGTTTTGGTTGTTTTCCTCAAATTTATGAATGAATTAATCCCACGAAAATTTTATAATTAAAACAAAATTAATGCTTTCATTAACAAAATCGTTTGGGGAATTAAATTTGCTTTAATTTGATACCAAACACGCCATATTTATCTCCTAAAGCGGTTAATTTTTTTTTTTTGAAGCCGCCATTTTGCATTTATGTTAATTATTAGCAACATTTTTGTTTATAACAATAAATGAGTCATGTTTGGTATCAAAATTCACGAAATTTTCTCCTCTTTCACGCTAAAGCATTTTCTGATTGTTTTCCTCAAATTATGAATGAATTAATTCCGCGAAAATTTTATAATTAAAACAAAATTAATGTTTTCATTATCAAAATCGTTTAGGAAACTAAATTTGCTTTAATTTGATACCAAACACGCCATATTTATCTCCAAAAACGGTAAATTTTTGGCTTTGAAGCCGCCATTTTGTTTTTATTTTAACTATTAGCAACATTTTTGTTTATAACAATAAATGAGTCATGTTTGGTATCAAAATTCACGAAATTTTCTCCTCTTTCACGCTAAAGCATTTTCTGCTTGTTTTTCTCGAATTTATTAATGAATTAATTCCAGGAAAATTTTATAATTGTAACAAAATTAATGTTTTCATTATCAAAATCGTTTAGGAAACTAAATTTGCTTTAATTTGATATCAAACACCCCATATTTATCTCCTAAAACGGTTAATTTTTGATTTTGAAGCCGCCATTTTGTTTTTATTTTAACTATTAGCAACATTTTTGTTTATAACAGTAAATGGGTGGTGTTTGGTAGCAAAATTCACGAAAATTTCTCCTCTTTCACGCTAAAACATTTTCTGGTTGTTTTTTCTCAAATAATACATTTGAATTATTGATGAATTAATTCCACGAAATATCACACTGTTCATATAACACACAAAATTTATGTAATAAAAATATTACTTGTTCTTACAAGCACTGCTGCCATAGTATTTTGAATTTCACAACATATCTTTTGCACGCAATTACACTTTTTGGTACTGCAGTACCGATTGCATTGGCACATAACAAAACCTTGTTTAGATCCTGACGGCAAAGCTGACGCTTTTCTTAAAGTTCACGAGAAACTAGGCACATCTGACTGGCGAATAAACTTTGACTCTGCATAGGTGCATTCATTTCGAGAATTGTAATGTCCTTTTTTATGGAGGGCTTGGATGATGAAAGGAAACCCAATCTTCCCTTTACTAATTTGTACTTTATTTCTATTACTAATTCTTATACCTAGTCGATGCCGACTGTCGCTTTTCCACGTCGACTCGATTACTTACATATTTGCTGAGGTGTATATTTTGCCTGAGTTCAATACACCTCAGCTTTTGCCTACAATGCAATCTACCTTCACAGAATAATATCTGGTGAGTTCCCCTTTATTCGTTCCTAACTTGTACAGACCGGATTCATTTACATTCAGAACTACAGCTAGTACATTTCTAGTTGTAACTATAACCACAACATTTCGCTCAATTTCTGCAGGAAGAAATTTTTTTTCACTAATCTGGCCTTCGCGTCTTCTCCCTGATTTTGAATAAGGTCGATTCTGATACGGCCGCATACAATCTTTTCAACAAATTCAACAACACATTCCGCATGTATCTTTGCTTTACATTTAGTACATGATTGGAGATTCCCATAATTTTCACATATGGAACATGGAATTACATCAATGCTACTCCCTCTTTCTTTATCAATTTCTGGAGCCATTGCAACTAAAACTTTTTATCGTTTTCTAGTGACGAATCTGCCAGTCCAATTTTAACTTTCCTGATGTACAGCATATTCAGTACATACCGGGAATTTCATATAACTTACAATATATGAATGCAGTAACCATAGTTACGAAGCTATTATGCACTCGCACTGTCCCACATAAAATGCAACATAGCATAATAGTACAGGCATTGGGTAGTTTTGCAAAGGAAAAGTTTTGCTTGGAAAAGGTGACGTCTTTGTAAGTCTTGTGTTAATTCTAGTGATAGTGTAAAACTTGAACTAACAGTAGACCGAGAACTAGAAACATTCGGATTTAGCCGCACGTCTCTCAAGACGGCTAAACCGGAATGATTTTAGTTCTAGGTCTTATGTTAGTTCTAGTGACAGTGCTAGTGTAAAACTAGAACTAATATTAGACCTAGATAAATTAATGAATTTCTCTATTGTCTTCAGGTAAATTATAGTAATTGATGAAAATAATACAAAATGTACCTCTGAAGATTAATTTTTATTCAAAAAATTTTGTTCTCAACGACCGGTTTCGATTTTTATACAATAGTCTTCAGGTTGTTTGCTACGAATTAAATATAGATTGAAATATCACAAAAACGCATTAAAATTAACATGTATTTACCGTCAAAAAGAGATTCAATTCTCGAGGAAAAAATGGAGGTATGTCACTTCTATTTTAATATGTTACAGAGAAAATTCCTTTGAGGTTATGTCGTGTTTTTTTGTCAAAATATTGTTAAAATTACACTAATAAACGTTAAATCTTACAAATAACTTTTCATACACTTAAAAAATCGCAGATATAATGGTTTTAGAATTAGTAATTCGTAGCAAACAACCTGAAGACGATTATATAAAAATCGAAATCGGTCGTTGAGAACAAAATGTTTTAAATAAAATTTAATCTTCATAGGTACATTTTGTATTAGTTTCATCGATTATTAGACCTAGAAGAAAGAACATTCAGGTTTAGCCGTCTTAAGAGACACACGGCTAACCGAAATGTTGAGCGTATGCCAGTCTCCGTGTATTATACCCTCATCATCGCTCTTTGCCGTTAACACTAAAGAAACAGCTATTTGATTCATTGGTTCTATTTTATTTTGCCTACTGCGCTCCGCTTTACCATGCCTCAATTGATTGTGTTGATACTCTACGCATTCAAAGAGTGCAGAATGCTTGTTTGAGGTTTGTATACAGTATTTGAAAGTATGCTCGTATTTGGCATAAACTTCGTGACATTGGTTGGTAAAATATGTTAAATAGACGTAGATTGCTAACGCTCGATCTCTATCATAAGATTTTGACCAGTGGGAACTTTTCCTACCTAACAAACAAAATAAGATATAGTTGTGATGTGCACAATTTGAATATAGGTTAAAGGCTAGAATTTCTCCTCCTAAGTATAAGTTGTCAGAAGATCATTCACGTACCAGATTTGTGTACTTTACAGCGATTTAAGTCTACCCTTGTCAATTTGCTAATGAGAGATCAATAGTTTTTTTCTTCTTTTCATTATTTTCGTTTTTATTTGTATATGGTATCCCATCTTTTAGAACCATTTCACTATTTAACCTTTTTATTTGTTTAATTCTCCTGTAACCCATTTTTCTTCCTGTACAATGCGTAGTGCTCTAACTCATGGACCCTCTTCTCATTTCTTCCTGTTTTTTCGCCTTTATAATCCTTCTCAAAATACCCTTACTAAGAGATTCGCTGCGTTTTTCTCTTCAAACCTCAGTCCTACTTTCAGTTCCAACTCATTTCTTTCTCTTTCAAATCTAATACACCCAAAGATCGTATACCAGGGGGTGTTTTATAATATCTTAATTTCATTATTGGGTGGTGAAGCGAGAACCCAAACGGAGTATTACGTTTGGGTTCTCGCTTCTGCCATCTTGCATACATTATGTCTTTATTTTTTTTCCTTTTTCCTGGCTTCTACTTCTCCAATTTTCATTTCTCTCTTACGCTAGCAGATTCGGTATGCAGATGTCACCTTTATGGCTGATTTTCTTCCAACCCATCTCAACATATTAGCATATTTTTTGCATTTCAAAGTACTTTTCCATACCATTCTTTCTTAGGCATTATTCTAGTTAAGCTTTTCTGCACTACCCTTGTCTTTTCCGTTATCTTTCTTATGTGTTCGGTCATTCAAAGGTGTTTGTTCAGGAACACTTAAAAGTATTTGACCAATGGGCAACTTTTTATCTTTTGTTATCCCATCATTATTTCTATGTCCTTCAATGATGGGAAAAAGAAATTCCCTTCAGGCTAATCGTTTCCTTGTTTTTAAGTACTAATTAGGTTCACATAAAATTTGCTTTAGTTGTTACTTCCTCTACGATTTAGTTGTTAATCGGTTATGGTCATGTCTTTGAAGAAACACTTCTAGATACGTAAGTTTTCTTGAGCTATGAATTACAGTATCGTTAACTTGCAGGTTAAGCATTAGTTCTAGTCGTAGTGTTAGTCTAGTTTCCTCGTAGTAATGTCAAAATATATGTATAAACATGTTGCATTTTATGTAGGACAAAGTAACTAGGAAATATATTTTTATTTCACTGTATAAAAAGCAGGAAGATAAACTTAATCGATAAGAAAGCACCCCAGATAAATCTTTATCTGTCGGGCAGATGTTGGGAAAATGTTCTTTTATAGAGATATCACAATTTGTATTCTAAGACTCCTTCGGAATGTTTTAGAACACTAAATAATTGTGTTTAATTGATTTTTTTTTATAACATTGTATTCTTTCTTTTTATTTACTAAAAGGCAATGGATATTATTAACCAATACTCAAAGCAACGAGGAAGAATCATCGATTACAAAGACATTTACTACGGTTATTGGAGATTAGATCCAAAATATGGCGTTGATGTGATTTTGGATCTTTTACTTGTTTATAGAAAATACAGAGGACACAAAATGACGGTTACAGTTCGAAGACACGCATATATCCAACAAACATTTACAGGTAATCTTTCTCCAAGTCTCTCTATCCTGCGTATCCTCTACCTTGAGTTGCTTCTCTCTCATTGCCTTTGCGATTCCTTCATTCCCGGATTTTTTCGATCTTCCACATTTCTTCCCCGCTGGCGGAACCCATTTAAATAACTTCGTCGCCCAGAAAACCACCATAAACCTCTTACTTTGATTCTGTCTATCATTGTTGATGTTGTTTTCATGCTACATTCTTGACACTTCTTCTCAAATAGTCCATCTCGACTCATATCTCACTATCATAGCCCAGGATTGACTCTACTAGTTCTTCTTTTTATGTTCTTGTCATAATAAACTAAATCATTAATATTTTATTAACAGGTATAGAAGTTCGCGAAATCGACATAAATCAACCCTACACTGAAGAAACCAACGAAAATAACCTTCCATTTCACGAAAAACTCATCAAACAAATTTCAAGAATAAGTTCAAATCTTCAATTAACAGATATATTCGATTCGTCGTCTTCAAATGCATCGAAGAAAAAACGTATTAATTTTATTCTTCCGTTGAGTGGTCGATTTAAAACTTTTAAGCGTTTCATGGACGTTTACGAAGAAGTTTGCATCAAAGAGAACGATCCAACGACGTTAATCATCGTGCTGTATAAAGAAAATCTTTACGATTACGAGGAAAGTTTAGGTTTAATCGAAAACGTTCAAATGAAGTACAAAAACTATGATATCAAAACGGTTTTGGTGAACGAAACTTTCGCGCGCGGTCGAGCGTTGCAGTTCGGAGTTGAAACAACGAATCAAGATGATTTATTATTTTTTATCGATGTTGATATTGTGTTTAATGCGAAAAGTTTGATGAGAATTCGACAAAATACTATTCAACATTTTTCGGTGTATTATCCAATTGTTTATAGCATGTATGATCCTGAATTTTTTGGTAAAAAATATGATATCGATGATTATAAGTTGTTTGAAAATGAGTCGTTGTTGAATGAAGATAATGGTTTTTGGAGACAATTTGGGTTTGGGATTGTTAGTTTGTATAAAAGTGATTTTATTAAATTGGGGGGTTTTAATACAACAATCGTTGGTTGGGGAATGGAAGATGTTAATTTTTATGATAGCACAATTATGTCGCGTTTAAAAGTGGTGCGAAGTGCTGATCCAGGATTAATTCACGTTTACCATCCAGTGCAGTGTGATAATGACAATAATTTAGATAATAATCAAAGGGCTATGTGTCTAGGTACAAAAGCGAGCACATTTGGCTCGTTAAACGACCTTCAGATATACTTTTTAAAGAATAAACATTTGTTTAGCTAGTGTTGAAACTAATTAAAAAAAAACTTCTATATAATAAAAGTACCAATCAATTTTTGCTGTGATTTTGTGCTACATATTTATGAACAAATTTTAAGTTAAAGGGAAATTTATTTAAAGAAATGGTTTTATCAACAAGTGCCTTAATAAATTAAAAAGTAATTAAAGTAGTTGCCATTTTCGTTCCTACATCGATGATGATTTAAAATGAAAGTGAAATGTAATTTGTAATTTTTATTTTTAGTGTTTTCGTTTGAAATTATTTGCATTTCAGAATGCTCACTAGCTCTGTATTTTTGTCTGTATGTATCGTGTAAATAAATTAATTTATACATTTAAAATCTTCTTTTGCTTAACAGAATAATAATAATAAACATATTTATTGTCTCAGAGAAAAAAAGAGCATTAATATAATAATAAAAATAAAACTAAATAATAAACATTGACGCTAACAAGCGTATTAATGTTTCTTGAACCTCAGACGAGAGTCCATAATAACACCAAGATTGCGAAATTCAGAGGAAGTTAGTAGTCTGCGCCTTGCAGAATCAGATGAAAATTGGTTAACAAAGGTAAGTCATCTATCAATCTGTCACTGCTGGGCCAAAAAATAACCACTAAGGATTTGGAAGAGTTAACTGTTAGACAGAGCAGAGCATATACTGCTAAATTGTCCAAGTCAGTATTTATCCTATCCACTGCAATATTCACTTCATCAGCTTTAAAGCTATAATATACTTTTAAGCAGGAGCAAAGCTGAAACGTATAAATCTGGTACAATAAATACTTTTGGGCCTAATATCTTTCAGACCTGAAGGGTCTTTATTTATTTGAGATAGGCATTATCAAAATAATCCAGTCCAAGAATTGTTGGACATCATAGTACTTGCATTTTTTTACTAAATTTATCATTACCAATTGATTCAGTTTTAATGGAAATTATTAACTGAGCAATTTAGACAACATTAGATGATTGTCTGAGAAATCTTGCAAATCACGATCACCCGAAGAATTAACCTGTGTCGATTGAAAATAACAATTTATTTGATTAGGTGTACCCAAAGTGTCCGAAATGTTTTGACGTCTGATACGGGATTTAATAGAACTCCATAATTTACGAGAATCGTTTCCAGCAAATAGGTGTGTAAGAAATGCGCGCTTTTCGCGAAGCACGGACGAGCTGGTAAAATTTCTCAGAGAAAGAACCCATTCATTTCCTAATATCTCTATTTCTTTACGGATTTTGTTAACAATTGCAGTCTCAGTTGTTATAGCAGAAAGATCATTATCAAAACCAAAAATAATTAAAAATTATCTGCGGTCTACTATGGGACAAGATAAATTGGCAAATCTTGCAATCATATCTATTGAGAGCGATATTTTACAAAAATTAGATATAGATTTAGCAGATAGATTCAATACGCAACTTTTTTGTCTCTTGACATTTTCTCCTAAAATAGTTAGTTTGATCACAAAAAATAAAATAATACACAGGCTCAAATGAATTAATACAGATTGATTACTATTAGTCAAAGAAATGGAGTTATGTCAAATTGATCTCAGCATTATTTTATTATTTGTGATCAAGCTAACAATTTGTTAGTATGTTAAGAGATAAGAAAGGTGCACATTTTTTCCTTTAACTTTAGAGGGCTTTAACTTGAAGGAGAAAAGATTTTGAACAAAAAGATATATAAAAGACACCCCTCATCATGTTGAATACTTTTGAACAAGTTTGGATGAGTTAATTGTAGACGAAGTAGATAATTTTAGACAAATTTAGCGCTTTTAAATAATTTTGAAGAAGTTTACATAATTTTAGCCACATTTTGATCATTTTGGACAGCTTTAAACAATTTTAGACAAGTTAATTGTAGACGAAGTAGATAATTTTAGACAAATTTTGCGCTTTTAAATAATTTTGAACAAGTTTACATCATTTTAGATACGCTTTGAATATTTTAGCTACATTTTGATCATTTTAGACAGTTTTGAACAAGTTTGGACAAGTTAATTGTAGACAAAGTAGATAAATTTAGACAAATTTTGCGTTTTTAAATAATTTTGAACAAGTTTACATAATTTTAGATACGTTTTGAATATTTTAGTCACATTTTGATCATTTTAGACAGTTTTAAACAATTTTAGACAAGTTAATTGTAGACGAAGTAGATAATTTTAGACAAATTTCGCGCTTTTAAATAATTTTGGACAATTTTACATAATTTTAGATACGTTTTGAATATTTTAGCCAGATTTTGATCATTTTAGACAATTTTAAACAAGTTTAGACAAATTAATTGTAGACGAAGTAGATAATTTTAGACAAATGTTGCACTTTTAAATAATTTTGAACAAGTTTTCATAATTTTAGATACGTTTTGAATATTTTTGCTACATTTTGATCATTTTAGACAGTTTTAAACCACTTTAAACAGGTTAATTGTAGACGAAGTAGATAATTTTAGACAAATTTTGCGCTTTTAAATAATTTTGAAGAAGTTTACATAATTTTAGCCACATTTTGATCATTTTGGACAGCTTTAAACAATTTTAGACAAGTTAATTGTAGACGAAGTAGATAATTTTAGACAAATTTTGCGCTTTTAAATAATTTTGAACAAGTTTACATCATTTTAGATACGCTTTGAATATTTTAGCTACATTTTGATCATTTTAGACAGTTTTGAACAAGTTTGGACAAGTTAATTGTAGACAAAGTAGATAAATTTAGACAAATTTTGCGTTTTTAAATAATTTTGAACAAGTTTACATAATTTTAGATACGTTTTGAATATTTTAGTCACATTTTGATCATTTTAGACAGTTTTAAACAATTTTAGACAAGTTAATTGTAGACGAAGTAGATAATTTTAGACAAATTTCGCGCTTTTAAATAATTTTGGACAATTTTACATAATTTTAGATACGTTTTGAATATTTTAGCCAGATTTTGATCATTTTAGACAATTTTAAACAAGTTTAGACAAATTAATTGTAGACGAAGTAGATAATTTTAGACAAATGTTGCACTTTTAAATAATTTTGAACAAGTTTTCATAATTTTAGATACGTTTTGAATATTTTTGCTACATTTTGATCATTTTAGACAGTTTTAAACCACTTTAAACAGGTTAATTGTAGACGAAGTAGATAATTTTAGACAAATCTTGAGCTTTTAAATAATTTTGAACAAGTTTACATAATTTTACATACGCTTTGAATATTTTAGCTACATTTTGATCATTTTAGACAGTTTTGAACAAGTTTGGACAAGTTAATTGTAGACGAAGTAGATAATTTTAGACAAATTTTGCGCTTTTAAATAATTTTGGACAAATTTACATAATTTTAGATGCGTTTTGAATATTTTAGCCATATTTCGATCATTTTAGACAGTTTTGAACAACTTTAGACAAATTAATTGTAGACGAAGTAGATAATTTTTGACAAATTTTCCGCATTGAAATAATTTTGAACAAGTTTACATAATTGTAGATACGCTTTGAATATTTTAGCCACATTTTGATCATTTTAGACAGTTTTGAACTATTTTGGACAAGTTAATTGTAGAGGATATAGATAATCTTAGACAAATTTTGCGGTTTTAAATAATTTTGAACAAGTTTACACAATATTAGATACGTTTTGAATATTTTAGCTGCATTTTGATCATTTTAGACAGTTTTGAACTATTTTGGACAAGTTAATTGTAGACGAAGTAGATAATTTTAGACAAATTTTGCGCTATTAAATAATTTTGAACATGTTTACGTAATTTTAGATACGTTTTGAATATTTTAGCCACATTTTGATCATTTTAGACATTTTTGAACAACTTTAGACAAGTTAATTGTAGACGAAGTAGATAATTTTAGACAAATTTTGCGCTTTTAAATAATTTTGAACAAGTTTACATAGTTTTAGATACGTTTTGAAAATTTTAGCCACATTTTGATCATTTTAGGCAGTTTTGAATAAGTTTGGACAAGTTAATTGTAGACGAAGTAAATAATTTTAGACAAATTTTGCGCTTTTATGTAATTTGGAACAAATTAACATAATTTTGGATACGTTTTGAATATTTTAGCTACATTTTGATCGTTTTAGACAATTTTGAACAACTTTACACAAGTTCATTGTAGACGAAGTAGATAATTTTAGACAAATTTTGCGCTTTTAAATTATTTTTAACAAGTTTACATAATTTTAGATTCGTTTTGAATATTTTAGCCACATTTTGATCATTTTAAACATTTTTGAACACCTTTAGACAAGTTAATTGTAGACAAAGTAGATAATTTTAAACAAATTTTGCGCTTTTAAATAAATTTGAACAAGTTTACATAATTTTAGATACGTTTTGAATGTTTTAGCCACATTTTGATAATTTTAGACAGTTTTGAACAAGTTATTTGTAGACGAAGTAGATAATTTTAGACAAATTTTGCGCTTTTAAGTAATTTTGAACAAGTTTATATAATTTTAGATACGTTTTGAATATTTTAGCCACATTTTGATCATTTTAGACAGTTTTGAATAACTTTAGACAAGTTAATTGTAGACGAAGTAGATAATTTTAGACAAATTTTGTGCTTTTAAGTAATTTTGAACGAGTTTACATCATTTTTGATTGGATTTTGTGGAAAATGACTAAAATTCGTACGGATTGATTTAATACCATCTCCAGTTTCCGTAACTTTTGAAAGTTTTTCATTAAAGCGTTCATTGAATTTAATTTCTTGAAAATTATCGGAATTACTCATATTGGGAGAAAAAAAATCCAAACACCAACAAAATAATAGAACCAGTCAAAATTCTTCTAAAATAACAATAAAACGAACAATTATTTAAATTTATAATTTTCATTTCAAAAGCAACAACAATAATTACAAAAAAAAAATTCAAAGTTTTATTAAAAAATGCAAATTATAAATATTAACCCATATATTTTTATTGTTTAAATATAAACGTCAAATTTATTTATCTAATCTACAAATTGGACTATTTTGGACCATCATTAAATCAACTTTTGGCCCCACTAAGTCTCTAATATTATTATATCCATATTTAATCATAGTCGGTCTTTCTAAAGATAACCCCCAAGCTAAAACCCTAACATCCTCAGGCAAACCCATCGGGAGTAACATTTCCGGCCTAAAAATTCCTGAGTTTCCAATCTCGATCCATTTCCCCAAACCTTTATGGAAACAAAAAATTTCCATGCTTGGCTCAGTATAAGGATTATAAGCAGGTTTAAATTCTAATTCGGTAATTCCTAATTTTTTAAAGAACTCGGTGAAAACCCCGATAAGATCACCAAGAGTTAAATTGTAATCAGCAATAACACCTTCAACTTGATGAAATTCAGCTAAATGTGTTGCATCTAAAGTTTCGTTACGAAAAACTCTATCAATACTGAAAAATTTTGCGGGGTGGAATTCTTTTTCTTGACCTAAATTATAAAGCATTCTTGCGCTCACTGCTGTTGTGTGGGTTCGTAAAAGATTTTTTTGTGCTTCAGACAGTTCCCAATCGTATCGGTACCTAAAATAAAACCAAATTAGTCAATAAAATTATTTTAGTTACTAAATTTGGTATAATTCAAGAACCATCATGTCGCTTAAATTAAATTATCGACCGGAAATCACTCAAATAAGCCGTTAGAAATAAAAAAGAAGGGTGGAAAAGTGTAAAACTTACCGAAAAATCATTTTAAAGTTTCGACGTGACGTCACTTTTTGTAGTTGGGGCAAAACCCGAAACTTTCAAGTTATAGGTGTAGTGTTAATTCTAGTTTTACACTATCACTAGAAGTAACACAAGATCTAGAACTAGAAATATTCGGGTTTTGCTGCACGTCTCTCAAGACGGCTAAACCCGAATGATTCTAGTTCTAGATCTAGTGTTAGTTGTAGTGATATTTCTAGTACTGCATTAGCGCAATGCAATACTAAAACTAACACTAGACCAAGAACTAGAAATATTCGGGATTAGCCGCACGTCTCTCAAGACGGTTAAACCTGAATAATTCTAGTTCTAGTGTTAGTTCTAGTGATAGTGATAATGCAATACTAAAACTAACACTAGACCAAGAACTAGAAATATTCGGGTTTAGCCGCACGTTTCTCAAGACGGCTAAACCCGAATGATTCTAGTTCTAGGTCTTGTGTTAGTTCTAGTGATAGAGTAAAACTAGAACTTTACTAACACTAGACCAAGAACTAGAAACATTCAGGTTTAGCCGTACGTCTCTCAAGACGGCTAAACCCGAATGATACTGGTTCTTAGTCTAGTGTTAGTTCTAGTTTTATATTATCTCTAGAACTAACATAAGACCTAGAATCATTCGGGTTTAGCCGTCTTGAGAGACGTGCAGCTAAACCCGAATGTTTCTAGTTCTTGGTGTAGTGTTAGTTCTAGTGATAGTGCAATACTAGATCTAACACTAGAGCAAGAACTAGAAACATTCGGGTTTAGCCACACGTCTCTCAAGACGGCTAAACCAGAATGATTCTAGTTCCAGGTCTAGTGATAGTGCTAATGCAATACTAGAACTAACACTAGACCAAGAACTAGAAATATTCGGGTTTAGGTGCACGTCTACCAAGACGGCTAAACCCGAATGATTCTAGGTCTTGTGTTAGTTATAGTGATAGTGTAGAACTAGAACTAACACTAGACCAAGAACTAGAAACATTCAGGTTTAGCCGCACGTCTCTCAAGACGGTTAGACCCGAATGATTCTGGTTCTTGGTCTAGTGTTAGTTCTAGTGATAGTGTAAAACTAGCTTAATTCAATACAAATATGCAACATAGTGATATCTTATATTAACTAGCGCTATCTATCACTGTCACTAGAACCTAAACCGGTTTAGCCGTCTTGAGGGACGTGAGGCTAAATCCGAATGTTTCTAGTTTTCGGTCTAGTGTTAGTTGTAGTTTTGCACTAGAACGCAAGACCTAGAATCACTCCGGTTTAGCCGCCCTGAGAGACATGGGGCTAAACCAAAATGTTTTTAGTTCTCGGACAGTGGTAGGTAACAGAGACCTGCATGAATAGTTTCATTCGCCCAAATGAAACATTCACAGAAAAATGAATAGTGAATCAACACTAAGACATCAAGAGCACGCTGAAAAGTAACACACGATTTGCTGAATATGCTGCAGTGTTGTTCTACAACATCATGCAGTAAGCGTCTCTCTTATGTCTAACGAAAAGCAGCGAATGGTTAAAAGTATTCGTGAATCATTTAAAATGATTCATTACCTCACGTACACAGTAGTGCTTTTGTATACAGTCATTGTTACTTTAATATCAAACATCTCGTAAATAAAGTAATATTAAATTGAATTTAAGACACAATTTAGATTTATCCAAAGTTATCTAAATTTGGCTAAACTTATACAAAATTATCTAAAATATTCAAAACGTATCTAAAATTATCTGTTTGTTGAAAATTATTTAAAAGCGCAAAATTTGTCTAAAATTATCTACATCGTCTACAATTAACTTGTCTAAAGTTGTTCAAAACTGTCTAAAATGATCAAAATGTGACTAAAATATTCAAAACGTATCAAAAATTATGTAAACTTGTTCAAAATTACTTAAAAGCACAAAATTTGTCTTAAAAGATCTACTTCGTCTACAATTAACATGTCTAAAGTTGTTCAAAACTGTCTAAAATGATCAAAATGTGGCTAAAATATTCAAAACGTATCTAAAATTATGTAAACTTGTTCAAAATTATTTAAAAGCGCAAAATTTGTCTAAAATTATCTACTTCGTCTACAATTAATTTGTGTAAACTTGTTCAAAACTGTCTAAAATGATCAAAATGTGGCTTAAATATTCGAAACGTATCTAAAATTATGTAAACTTATTGAAATTTACATAAAAGCGCAAAATGTGTCTAAAATTATCTACTTCGTCTACAATTAACCTGTTTAAAGTTATTCAAAACTGTCTAAAATGTGGCTAAAATATTCAAAACGTATCTAAAATTATGTAAACTTGTTCAAAATTATTTAAAAGCGCAACATTTGTCTAAAATTATCTACTTCGTCTACAATTAATATGTCTAAACTTGTTCAAAACTGTCTAAAATGATCAAAATGAGGCTGAAAGATTCAAAACGTATCTAAAATTATGTAAACTTGTTCAAAATTATTTAAAAGTGCAAAATTTGTTTAAAATTATCTACTTCGTCTACAATTAAGTCATCCAATCTTGTTCAAAACTGTCCAAAATGATTGAATGATTGATTTTGAACAAAAAGATATATGAAAGACATCCCTCGTCTTTCATATATATTTTTGTTCAAAATCCTTTATCCTCCAAGTTAAAGCCCTCTAAAGTTAAGGGAAAAAAATCTGCAACTTTCTTATCTTTTGACATTTTACAACTAATAATGCTGAGATCAATTTGACGTAACTCCATTTCTTTGAGTAACAATAATCAATCTGTATTAATTCGCAAAATTTGTCTAAAATTATTTAAACTTGTTCAAAACTGAAAAATTTTATAAAATTACCTAAAATGATCAAATTGAATTTAATATTATTTAAACTTGGCTAAACATACACAAAAATATCTGAAATTGTCAAAATGTATCTAAAAGTATCTACATTCCCTTGAATAATCCTTTTCCAATGTGATGCTGTATCAAAAATGACTTTACTATTACTACTTTACTTTTATCTCGAAAAAACCGTAAACAATTTTTGAATGAAACCTTAAAAATCTTACAATGTAAAACATATGAAAGATAATAAAAGCTCTGTTTACGTACTTAATACACATTTTTGCGATTTTAAATAATTAGATAAGTTTACATTACATAGTCAACATTAAATGATTTTGGACAAATTTTGAGCTTTTAAATAATTTTAAACTAATTTTGGAATATTTCTGATAATTTTTAGGCAACTTTGTACAAGTTTTGCAATTTTTCAGCAAAATTTTAAATTTTGATACATTATACGGAACTCTTCGATTGTCTATTTCGCGAATGATATTAAACCATTCCCTGGTTTTGAATAAGCACAGCACTACATGATTCACGGTTCTATTGACGAATGAAAGAAACATAGTAACATGGGACAGAATCGATTAATATGATTCACTATGACTGAGCCATTCGCTGCAGGTCTCTGGTAGGTAGCACTAGTTAGCATAAGATATCACTATGTTGTATATTTTTATTGAACTAAACCCGAATGTTTCTAGTTCTAGATCTAGTGTTAGTTCTAGTTTTACACTAGCGATATTACTAGAACTAACAAAATACCTAGAACTAGAATCATTCGGGTTTAGCCGTCTTCAGAAACGTTGGGCTAAATCCAAATGTTTCTAGTTTTCGGTTTAGTGTTAGTTTTGCACTAGAACTAACACAAGACTTAGAAATAGAATCATTCGGGTTTAGCCGTCTTGAGAGACGTGCGGCTAAACCCGAATGTTTCTAGTTCTAAGTCTAGTGTTAGTTCCAATTTTACACTAGTACTATCACTAGAACTAACACAAGACCTAGAACTAGAAGTGTAAAATTGGAATTAACACTAGACCTAGAACCAGAATCATTCGGCTTTAGCCGTCTTGAGAGACGTGCGGCTAAATCCGAATGTTTCTAGTTTTAAGTCTTGTGTTAGTTCCAATTTTACACTAGCACTATCACAAAACCTAGAACTAGAAACATTCGGATTTAGCCGTCTTGAGAGATGTGCAGCTAAACCTGAATGATTCTAGTTCTAGGTCTTGCGTTAGTTCTAGTGGGAGTAGTAGGTAGCGCTAGTTAGCATAAGATATTACTATGTTGTATATTTTTATGGAACTAAAACTAGAACTAACACTAGACCTAGAACTAGAAACATTCGGCTAAACCCGAATGATAGGTCTAGTGTTCGTTCTAGTTTTACACTAGCACTATTACTAGAACTAACACAAGACCTAGAACTAGAATCATTCGGGTTTAGCCGTTTTGAAAGACGTGCGGCTAAACCCGAATATTTCTAGTTCTAGGTCTAGTGTTAGATTTAAATGTTGTTTAGCGTTAGATTGTGGTATATTTTTATTAAAAGAAAAGTAGAACTAACACTAGACTTAGAACCAGAAACATTCAGGTTTAGCAATACGTCTCTTAAGATAGCTAAGCTTGAATGTTTCTAGTAGCGCTCACATCGGGTTTAGCTAAAGTCCCTAGATTATCAAAATGCCGCGGTTCATGAAGCCTGTGTATTCGAACCATTCCATAGAAAATAGTTTCGTAGAAATGCAACTCTCTAAACAAAAACTTCGTACTAAAAATGAAACGCATATGGCGCCATCTATTGGGAATATTTTGAAATTATTCATCTAAGAACTGAGAAACTAGAATACAGATTGGATTGGATTTATATACAAAAGCGCCAACCGCAGAATAACTGTTTGTAAAATGTTTGGAGCCACTACGTGGCTCCAATTAACGTTCCGACTGGTTGGGAATTCCTCAGACGCAATTACCTATGACAATTACACCTGTCAAATAATGACATTTGAATATTACTGCATCATATGACATGTGAGATTGCATCTGACGAGCTTATATATCCGACCAGTTATAACGTTAACTGAAACAAAGTTATAATGTCAATTATAATCTACTTATTTAATCATACCATTATTACTTTATTATACTCTTACCGAAAAATCACTTTAAAATGACGTTTTCATCTGTCATTCTGAACAAACTTCAACTTTTAAAAGTTGAAGTTAGCGGCAAATTTAAAAATATAACACGAATTGAAATCTAAACTTTTTAAATTAAAAGAATGATACTGGTAATAATTGTTATTAGTCTCTCATCATTCCCACTATTAATAATAAAATTGTTAGTTTAATTAAATTATTTCAGTATAGACGCTAATGCCATCTGACGGGGGGATTTTGACATATAATCAGTCCCAAGTTCTCCTATCAAAGATCTTTAACAGATTTACAAAAAATCCACGTGTAATAATGTCGTCTTGTTGTCTTTGGAGTTGCAAAAATAGCAGTAAGATGGGCTTTCGACACTTCATAGTACCACAAGAAAAAAAAAGGAAATTTGGCGTAATATTATCAACAGAACGAAATAGTTTTAAATTTCCCGCTTGACTTTCGAACCAAAATGGCGGCAAACCGCGGTACTTTAATAATCTAGGGACTTTAGGTTTAGCCTTGCGTCACAAAACGTGACGTCACATCGAAATTAAGGTGATTTTTCGGTATTTTCTACACTTTTCCGCACTTTCTTTTTATTTTTAACGTGTCTTTTGGGTTATTTCACATTGATTAAAAAAAAATCGTCGATTTTTAAGCCACAATATGAAGATTCTTGAATTTTTCTCTAAATTTAATTTACCCAATAGAACCATAACCCCCGTTACTGTGAACCTCCTTAACTTTTTTTAAATAATCCATAGGAAATTTCGTAGTTATTTGTGGATCGGATATGAAAAAGGTATCATGTGCATCTCGTGCGGGATGTTGTTGCGGTTGAAACAAGGCGTCAAAATTCCAAAAAGAACTCTCGATATATTTGTTAGTAGGCATCTCTGAGAATCCCATTTCTAAGAATATTTGGCGAAATTCCGATCGAACTTTAAGTAAAGGGTGTAGATATCCAGATTCAGGTGGAACACCCAAAGCATCTAAATTATAATCTTTGAACTTTAGGTTTTTCCAACTTCCTGTACTTAACATTTCCCAAGTTAAATCAGTTTCTAATTTAGCTAAAGTTGTTGTAAATTCAGGCCCTCTTTTTAATAAGTAATATTTAATTGTATTTTCTTGCACTAATTTCCGCTTTTTAAACTCTTGTTTTAAGCTATCGGTGATTTCAGAACAATTATTTTGGGAAATTTGGATAAGATGGTCTCGAACTGTATCAATAATTTCGGGGATTTTCTTTTTAGCAATTGGTTGACCGGAGCTTTTATCAACTAAAATCCATCCTGAAGACATCGCTTTACTAAACCCAATCTTTCCATTTGGTAAATTCATCAATTCCTTTTGATTAATACCTCCTTCGGGTATTGCATTATAAATTACAGCTTCATGACTTCCATTTTTTACAAACAACAAACCCTCTTCTGTTAAACCCAACGTTTTATCACTTAAAGGATCGGCAATGACTAAATCACCGTATGTTTGAATACTTTTTAGGGCCCCAACTACTTTTTGATGGTCTTCTTTAAAAACGGTCGCTAATTTTAACGTGGTTACCTCATCGTTTTCTGAGATATATTGAAGAATTTTTTCACTTAAACTTGCCATTTCTTTTATTAATGATTTGCCGGGTTAAAATTGATTTTTAACCTGACGCAATATGTCAAAAAGTTAGGTTATATATACGTGTCAATTGAAGTTAGCCATATTGAAAGTGTAATATGGGTTGCCTAATATATAGAATAAGTAAAAATTTAAATATTTAATGTTATTAATTACTCAATTTATACTTTTATTTTCAGCTATACGCATAAATTACTCCTTAAATTATCACAGTATATAAATTAATATTAACCATACAGAGAATACGTGGTTAAAATGTTACAGCAAAACACATACAGTGGTACAATAAAGTCTACATACACCCCAGAAAATCATAATATCTCAGCTCCTGAAATGTAATTCAATGAAATTTTTAAACGAAGGATATTAGAAGTGTATATTATTATAATATTTTACATAAATATGTATAACTTATTAATTATAATGAAAAACACAAAACATAATCATATTTTTAACTCAAAAAAGTCTACATACAGTTATAACACGGCTCTATGTTTTATTTGTAAACATCATAGTTGCTGTAGTTTGCGTTTTATTTCATACTAACGTTGTTGCCTTAGCAGTATACTAACATAAATAGTGTAATTAGGAATCCTCCTAACAATCAGCTAACAATGGAAGCTAAACGAAAAGAAATACCCTAAGCAGTGCGAAATATCATAATTCACAATCATCAAGTGAAATCGCAAAAATAGTTAGTAAAAGTCGCTCGTCGGTCCAGACAGTAATTCGAAATTATAAGGAACGTCAGTCAATCGAAAATAAACCAAGAAGTGGCCGACCACGTAAACTGACACCTAGAGATAAGCGGTCAATTTTAAAAACGATCAGCCGACAACAACTGCGGTAGAGATAGCCAAATCATTCGCGGCATGAAGGTCTATAACAGACTATAACCATAAATCCGGAAACAGTTAGACTGGTGTTACGAAGTCAAGGCTATAACAGTAGAGTTCCAAGAAAAAAGCCGTTTATATCCGAAATAAATGCGAAAAAAAGAGTCAATTTTGCTAAATTACATGAGCAAAAGAATACTACTTTCTGGCGTACCGTTGTATTTTCGGACGAAAGCAAGTTCAATATTTTCGGCTATGATGGCAAAGCAAATGTATGGAGAAAGAAAAACGAAGAAATGAATAAGAAAAACTTGAAAGCCACAGTAGAGCATGGCGGAGGAAATGTAATGGTATAAGGTTGTATGTCAAAAACGACTTAAAAGCTGCACTATTACAGGAATGGAAGACTGTTTCACCTGAAATTACAGCTAATTTAGTTGATTCTATGCCTCGACGATTAGCAGCAGTTCTTGCTGCCAAGGGAGGACCTACCAAATTTGGAAAATTTGGGAGGACCTTCGTTTAAAAATTTCATTGAATTACATTTCAGGAGTTGAGATATTATGATTTTCTGGGGTGTATGTAGACTTTATCGTACCACTGTAAGTCATAGTCATAGGCCTGTCAGGACCCTACGTATCCAATGTAGGGTTAAAAAAGAGATTCACGGGTTAACGGTGAAGGAATAAAAAGAGAAACAGTATACCTAACTTAATAGCATCTTTAAAAATTTCATGCCATTTCTTTTATTAAGACTATTCTTTTTCGGGATCGAACCTATTGGCAAGTTGTTAATGGTAGCACTTTGGAATCGGAGGATGTTACGAAAAACTTTTAAAATAAAAGTTGTAACAAATTTTATTGTTAATAATATTGCTCTCTTGCACTTTCGCTCTTAGATACGTCAATATCGAGATAAATATGAAAATTTTATGAATTTGTTGCTCGTTCAAGTTATTAAAGGTAACACTTGAGAATGGGAGCGTGCTATAAGAAAACTTTTATAACAAAAATTGTTGCAAATTTTATTGTTAATAATATTGCTCTCTTGTACTTTTGCTCTTAGATACGTCAATATCGAGATGGATACGAAAATATGAAAATTTGATGAATTTGTTGTTCTTTCAAGATATTAAAGGTAACACTTGAGAATCAGAGCTTGCTATAAAAAAACTTTTATAACAAAAATTGTTGCAAATTTTATTGTTAACAATATTGCTCTCTTATACTTTTGCTCTTAGATACGTCAATATAGAGGTGGATACGAAAATATGAAAATTTGTTGAATTTGTTGCTTTTTCAAGTTATTAAAGGTAACACTTGAGAATCGGCGCTTGCTATAAGAAAACTTTTATAACAAAAATTCTTGCAAATTTTATTGTGAACAATATTGCTCTCTTGCACTATTGCTATAAGATACGTCAATATCGAGATATATACGAAAATAGGAAAATTTGATGAATTCGTAGCTTTTTCAAGCTATTGAAGGTAAAACTTGGGAATCGGATCATGCTATAAGAAAACTTTTATAACAAAAATGGTTGCAAATTTTATTGTTAACAATATTGCTTTCTTACATTTTTGCTCTTAGATACGTCAATATCCAGATAGATACGAAAATATGAAAATTTGTTGCTTTTTCAAGTTATTAAAGGTAAAACTTGGGAATCGGAGCTTGCTATAAGAAGACTTTTATAACAAAAATTGTTGCAAATTTCATTGTTAACAATATTACTCTCTTGTACTTTTGNAAAAATAGTTAGTAAAAGTCGCTCGTCGGTCCAGACAGTAATTCGAAATTATAAGGAACGTCAGTCAATCGAAAATAAACCAAGAAGTGGCCGACCACGTAAACTGACACCTAGAGATAAGCGGTCAATTTTAAAAACGATCAGCCGACAACAACTGCGGTAGAGATAGCCAAATCATTCGCGGCATCAAGGTCTATAACAGACTATAACCATAAATCCGGAAACAGTTAGACTGGTGTTACGAAGTGAAGGCTATAACAGTAGAGTTCCAAGAAAAAAGCCGTTTATATCCGAAATAAATGCGAAAAAAAGAGTCAATTTTGCTAAATTACATGAGCAAAAGAATACTACTTTCTGGCATACCGTTGTATTTTCGGACGAAAGCAAGTTCAATATTTTCGGCTATGATGGCAAAGCAAATGTATGGAGAAAGAAAAACGAAGAAATGAATAAGAAAAACTTGAAAGCCACAGTAGAGCATAGCGGAGGAAATGTAATGGTATGGGGTTGTATGTCAAAAACGACTTAAAAGCTGCACTATTACAGGAATGGAAGACTATTTCACCTGAAATTACAGCTAATTTAGTTGGTTCTATGCCTCGACGATTAGCAGCAGTTCTTGCTGCCAAGGGAGGACCTACCAAATTTGGAAAATTTGGGAGGACCTTCGTTTAAAAATTTCATTGAATTACATTTCAGGAGTTGAGATATTATGATTTTCTGGGGTGTATGTAGACTTTATCGTACCACTGTAAGTCATAGTCATAGGCCTGTCAGGACCCTACGTATCCAATGTAGGGTTAAAAAAGAGATTCACGGGTTAACGGTGAAGGAATAAAAAGAGAAACAGTATACCTAACTTAATAGCATCTTTAAAAATTTCATGCCATTTCTTTTATTAAGACTATTCTTTTTCGGGATCGAACCTATTGGCAAGTTGTTAATGGTAGCACTTTGGAATCGGAGGATGTTACGAAAAACTTTTAAAATAAAAGTTGTAACAAATTTTATTGTTAATAATATTGCTCTCTTGCACTTTCGCTCTTAGATACGTCAATATCGAGATAAATATGAAAATTTTATGAATTTGTTGCTCGTTCAAGTTATTAAAGGTAACACTTGAGAATGGGAGCGTGCTATAAGAAAACTTTTATAACAAAAATTGTTGCAAATTTTATTGTTAATAATATTGCTCTCTTGTACTTTTGCTCTTAGATACGTCAATATCGAGATGGATACGAAAATATGAAAATTTGATGAATTTGTTGTTCTTTCAAGATATTAAAGGTAACACTTGAGAATCAGAGCTTGCTATAAAAAAACTTTTATAACAAAAATTGTTGCAAATTTTATTGTTAACAATATTGCTCTCTTATACTTTTGCTCTTAGATACGTCAATATAGAGGTGGATACGAAAATATGAAAATTTGTTGAATTTGTTGCTTTTTCAAGTTATTAAAGGTAACACTTGAGAATCGGCGCTTGCTATAAGAAAACTTTTATAACAAAAATTCTTGCAAATTTTATTGTGAACAATATTGCTCTCTTGCACTATTGCTATAAGATACGTCAATATCGAGATATATACGAAAATAGGAAAATTTGATGAATTCGTAGCTTTTTCAAGCTATTGAAGGTAAAACTTGGGAATCGGATCATGCTATAAGAAAACTTTTATAACAAAAATGGTTGCAAATTTTATTGTTAACAATATTGCTTTCTTACATTTTTGCTCTTAGATACGTCAATATCCAGATAGATACGAAAATATGAAAATTTGTTGCTTTTTCAAGTTATTAAAGGTAAAACTTGGGAATCGGAGCTTGCTNCGACGATTAGCAGCAGTTCTTGCTGCCAAGGGAGGACCTACCAAATTTGGAAAATTTGGGAGGACCTTCGTTTAAAAATTTCATTGAATTACATTCCAGGAGCTAAGATATTATGATTTTCTGGGGTGTATGTAGACTTTATTGTACCACTGTAAGTCATAGTCATAGGCCTGTCAGGACCCTACGTATCCAATGTAGGGTTAAAAAAGAGATTCACGGGTTAACGGGGAAGCAATAAAAAAAGGAACAGTATACCTAACCTAATAGCATCTTTAAAAATTTCTTGCCATTTCTTTTATTAAGACTATTCTTTTTCGGGATCGAACCTATTGGCAAGTTGTTAATGGTAGCACTTTGGAATCGAAGGATGTTACGAAAAACTTTTAAAATAAAATTTGTAGCAAATTTTATTGTTAACAATATTGCTCTCTTGCACTTTCGCTCTTAAATACGTCAATATCGAGATAAATATGAAAATTTTATGAATTTGTTGCTTTTTCAAGTTATTAAAGGTAACACTTGAGAATCGGAGCTTGCTATAAGAAAACTTTTATAACAAAAATTGTCGCAAATTTTATTGCTAACAATATTGCTCTCTTGCACTTTTGCTCTTAGATACGTTAATATCGAGATAGATACGAAAATATGAAAATTTTATGAATTTATTGCTTTCTCAAGTTATTAAAGGTAACACTTGGGAATCGGAGCATGCTATAAGAAAACTTTTATAACAAAAATTCTAGCAAATTTTATTGTTAAGAATATTGCTCTCTTGCACTTTTGCTCTTAGACGGGTCAATATCGAGATATATACGAAAATATAAAAATTTGATGAATTTGTTGCTTTTTCAATTTATTAAAGGTAACACTTGGGAATCGGAGGATGCTATAAGAAAACTTTTATAACAAATATTGTTGCAAATTTTATTGTTAACAATATTGCTCTCTTGCACTTTTGCTCTTAGATACGTCAATATCGAGATAGATACGAAAATATGAAATTTTGATGAATTTATTGCTTTCTCAAGTTATTAAAGGTAACACTTGGGAATCGGAGGATGCTATAAGAAAACTTTTATAACAAAAATTGTTGCAAATTTTATTGTTAACAATATTGCTCTCTTGCACTTTTACTCTTAGATGCGTCAATATCGAGATAGATACGAAAATATAAAAATATTATGAATTTGTTGCTCTTTCAAGTTATTAAAGGTAAAACTTGGGAATCGGATCATGCTATAAGAAATCTTTTATAACAAAAATGGTTGCAAATTTTATTGTTAACAATATTGCTCTCTTGCACTTTTACTATCAGATGCGTCAATATCGAGATAGATACGAAAATATGAAAATGTTATGAATTTGTTGCTCTTTCAAGTTATTAAAGATAACACTTGAGAATCGGAGCTTGGTATAAGAAAACTTTTATAACAAAAATTGTTGCAAATTTTGTTGTTAACAATATTGCTCTTTTGCACTTAGATACGTCAATATCAAGATAGATACGAAAATATGAAAATTTTATGAATTTGTTGCTCTTTCAAGTTATTAAAGGTAACACTTGAGAATCGGAGCTTGCTATAAGAAAACTTTTATAACAAAAATTGTTGCAAATTTTATTGTTAACAATATTGCTCTCTTGCACTTTTGCTCTTAGATACGTCAATATCGAGATAGATACGAAAATATGAAAATTTTATGAATTTGTAGCTTTTTCAAGCTATTAAAGGTAAAACTTGGGAATCGGATCATGCTATAAGAAAATTTTTATAACAAAAATGGTTGCAAATTTTATTGTTAACAATATTGCTTTCTTACATTTTTGCTCTTAGATACGTCAATATCCAGATAGATACGAAAATATGAAAATTTGTTGCTTTTTCAAGTTATTAAAGGTAAAACTTGGGAATCGGAGCTTGCTATAAGAAGACTTTTATAACAAAAATTGTTGCAAATTTCATTGTTAACAATATTACTCTCTTGTACTTTTGCTCTTATCGTTAGATACGTCAATATAAGGGTAGATACGAAAATATGAAAATTTTATGAATTTGTTGCTCTTTCAAGTTATTAAAGGTAACACTTGAGAATCGGAGCTTGCTATCAGAAAACTTTTATAACAAATATTGTTGCAAATTTTATTGTTAACAATATTGCTCTCTTGCACTTTTGCTCTTAGATGCGTCAATATCCAGATAGATACGAAAATATGAAAATTTGATGAATTTGTTGCTTTTTCAAGTTATTAAAGGTAAAACTTGGGAATCGGATCATGCTATAAGAAAATTTTTATAACAAAAATGGTTGCAAATTTTATTGTTAACAATATTGCTTTCTTACATTTTTGCTCTTAGATACGTCAATATCCAGATAGATACGAAAATATGAAAATTTGTTGCTTTTTCAAGTTATTAAAGGTAAAACTTGGGAATCGGATCATGCTATAAGAAAACTTTTATAACAAAAATGGTTGCAAATTTTATTGTTAACAATATTGCTCCCTTGCATTTTTACTCTTAGATGCGTCAATATCGAGATAGATACGAAAATATGAAAATTTTATGAATTTGTTGCTCTTTCAAGTTATTAAAGGTAACTCTCAGGAATCGCAGCATGTTACAAAAAAACTTTTATAACAAAAATTCTTGCAAATTTTATTGTTAACAATATTGCTCCCTTGCACTTTCACTCTTAGATACGTCAATATCGATATAGATACGAAAATATGAAAATGTTAGAATTTGTTGCTCTTTCAAGTTATTAAAGGTAACATTTGACAATCGGAGCTTGTTATAAGAAAACGTTTATAACAAAAATTGTTGCAAATTTTATTGTTAACAATATTGCTCTCTTGCACTGTTGCTCTTAGATACGTCAGTATCGAGGTAGATACGAAAATATGAAAATTTGATGAATGAGGAATCGCAGCATGTTACAAAAACACTTTTAGCGTAAAAGTTGTTAGATTTTATATTATATTGGTTAATTTATATTGGATTTATTTGTATCGCCTCATTTGTTTAGTCTAGATTTGAAGTGTCTCGAGTCGCAAGATTAGGGTTTTTTATCGCATTATTTATTGGGTTGAGTGAAGTGTGGGAATGCGTTGGGGTGTATATTTCGGTGTTTAGGTAAGGGTTTTTAGTTATGACCTAAAATAAAGAAGGAGCCTGCGAGCACAACTCGTATCAGTTATTCAGTCTTCGATTTAACACCCACCGAAACAGTACCCCTTCAATACACGCGGAGCAAGGCTCCCTATATAACTAATCGCAATTTATATGTATAGTTTAAGTGAAATTAATAATAAAGTTTATGGAAACGTAAAACCAAGATTTTGTTGTTAACCAGCGCCCACCAGATAAAAAATAAATAATCAAAAGTTGTAGCAAATTTTATTGTTAACAGTATTGCTCTCTTACACTTTAGCTCTTAAATGCGTGAATATCTATTTTGACAATATTTTGAACCGTTTTCAAATTAGGAAGGGGGTTTACTTATGACGCGTGCTGTATACCGGGTGTGCCTCAGAAGTGGTTTACACCCATATTTTTTTTTATTATTGGTGATATAAGAAAACCATTTGGAATACATAATTAGACCGTTAGCGACTATTAACCTAGCTAATATGCGTCAAAAGTTGTAATACATATTCCGAAGCTACTAAAACGTTAAAAAATAAATAAAATAATTTTTTTTTCAAAAATTATAAGCGATCGTGAAAATTTTTTCAAGTAAAAGTTAAATGCTGTATAACCAACTTCAAAAAAAAATTATAGATTTAAAAAATAGCGAAATTTGTACTCACATCCGGTATAACCGGAAGTACAAAGAGAATGATTTCATGTCGCAATAATCCGTTTTAACGGCCTAATTATGCATTGTAAATGGTTTTCTTATATCACTAATAAAAAAAAATATGGGGGTGAGCCACTTCTGAGGGATACCCGGTATATCAACGATCTGACAACGTTGCTCGAGAGACATTGCCATATCGTTGGTATATACTTTTATGCAATATAAGTAGGGTATTCCCATAAGGTACAATTTTTGTCGCAATTGTATTGATTTTAAGTACGATGTGTTTCATAATACTTTGTTAAAATTTTAAAGATCGGTAGATTATCTTCTATATCGGTAGGGTTGGCAACGCCGTATATACGTGTCAATTGAAGTTATAAGCTATATTGAAAGTGTAATATGGGTTGCCTAATGTATAGAATAGGTAAAAAGTTAAACAATATTATTTAATGTTAATACTCAATTTATACTTTTATTTTCACCTATACGCATAAATTACTCCTTAAATTACCACAGTATATAAATTAATATTAAAAAAGAGATTCACGGGTTAACGGGGAAGGAATAAAAAGAGGAACAGTATACCTAACCTAACAGCATTTTTAAAAGTTATTTCTAAAAAATCCACAAAAAAAAAAAGAAACTGTACAATTAAATGGAAAAAATTTGGCGTTAAAACGCTTAAACAAATAATTATATCACAATCAACGAACAATACTACCTCAATTGAAACCTATTATCACCTATTAATTAATTAATTACTTTTCGTTTTAAACTTATATCTTACAATTCATCATTATTGGATGATTTTGAACCGTCTTGGTTCTGTACCATCGACATAATTTTACTAGTATAAGCCGGATGAATAGATCGTTGCAACTGACTCAAAGACTCCTCAATATCTCTTAATAATTGTATTGCTGTCTTTAATATTTTTTGCCACTTGTGCATTTCAACAGTATGCAACGTTTCTTGTTGTTGTAATAACTTAACCCACTCCTCATGGGTTGTTGGCGGATCTTTAAGTACATGTAAATCGATAAACGTTGAAGGTATCGCCCCCTCTAACGTCCATAACTTATAATAAAGTACCCCAGTGAGAATCGCTAACATAATGAGTACGGAAAAAACGATTTTCATCGGATCTATTCGCGATCCCTGGGTGACACCACCGATGGTGTTTATGTTTGGAATTGAACTACGTACAGGTCGAATCATTTCTTTTGGAATGGGACGTTGAATAATCGGTCGTCTTCTACGTCCGGATCGATGTTTTTCCGTTAAGTTTGTACTTTCTTCCGCTTCTATGTGAAGGGCTTTAGCTAATGCAGAAAAGAAATCTTCGACGCCTTGCCAACTATTTTTTTCGATCATCCCTACAAAAAAAATGTTTGAATTGTGTTAAATAATTAAGATTTAATTTTTTAACACCTTTAACTAATCCCCAAACGTTCTTTTTGTACTTAATCTGGGCATAAACCGCCATTGATGATTGGGTATCAGAAATTTTATGTAAGCAGTAATGCACGAAACAATAAAAACTATCTGCATAAGGAATCCCACCATTTACTATATCCACATCGATTGCGTAAAGATAACCTGGTTTGCTACATGTTAACATCACCTAAATTAAATTAAAAAATAATTTAATTTTTGTGGAATTTGAGTAACATGTTTTCTTACCTGTGTTTCTGTTACCTGGGCAGATTTCGGCCCAATCGCTTGAGTTAAAGGAATCGTAAGATTAATGGTGCGCGTTTTCATGTTATTGTTTGGATTGTGCGACCATGCCGTTTGCGTAAAATCGCTTGTTTTTCTTGAAGCGTGAAAATCAAGGAAGAACTTTGAACTGGTGAAGAGAAGGGTGAAGAGTTGATCGACGTGCATTGAGTAAACTTCGTTGATTAATTGTTTACCTTCGTGAAGAGCCGTACAAACGGGACTACAATAAAAAATGTTTTGGATTAATCCAAGATTACTTTAGCACAATAAAAAAAAAGAAAATAAAATAAATAAAGTAAATCATGCGATGTTAAGAAAATAAAGAGAGCAAAAGCATTATTTATTGATTAAAGTGCTATAAAAAAATAAATATTAAAAAAATAATAAAATAAAAATATGTTTTTATTTAAGGATTTTTTTGTTAGGAAAGGTTTTTTTTTCTATAAATAAATGCATGCGCTTAAAGAATGAATTAATAAAGAAATTAGAAGATACAAAAAACAATGAAAATGAGAAAAATGAAAAAACTTACTATAGATTCTCGTCACTGGAAGAATGATAAGGATGGGGATCAGGGGAATTTAAAAGGGCTGAGTCTGGTTCAATGTCACTGCTATTACGTCTACGTTTGCTCCTGCAAACAAATCGAGGTATAACTTTTAAAACAAATCAAGCGGGATTTATCGTTAAATCCAAAAGTTAATAAAACGATTTGTTAATTTCATAGAAAAAATATACCACTTTACTTGTTATTTTGAACCAGATAATCGATGGTCAAAATTGGAAAAGAATTTCGATCGATTTTAACAGATACAAATAAATAAATTGATGATTGTTTCAGCCAAAGCGATGAATTGGACAAAAAGATATAAATAATTTATGTAAATGAATTGGACTTAAGAAATATTTCAAGATAAATCATTCCATAAATACAAAAACCTGCAACTCAAATGTTAACTTGCTAATATAATTACTCTTATACAGGGTGAGTTGTTAGTATACTGGCTGACGATAGTTACTAAACCATTTGAAAAACAAAAAAATGTTTTATACAAAAGTTGTTTCACTCATCACTTTCTATTACGTAAAATTGTTTTCACTTATACAGGATGTTCCATTTAAGCGTAGCGGAGAGTACGTAAATTTATTTAAATGGAACACCCTGTATATTTTATAGTATTATGAATACGACTAAATTTGTTTATGCAACCGTGTATGTTACTATTTCACAGCGTTCATAGTCCCTGAGATATTCAATTGTTCTTCCAAAATGTGTTAACTAACTAAATCTTATGCTAACCACCATTGTCACTAGAACTAACATTAGACCTAGAACTAGAAACATTCGGGTTTAGCCGTCTTTAGAGACGTGCGGCTAAACCCGAATGATTTTAGTTCTAGGTCTTGTGTTAGTTCAAGTGATAGTGCTAGTGTAAAACTAGAACTAACACTGGAGCTAGAATTAGAAAGTTTCTGGTTTAGCCGTGCGTCTGAAGACGCACATCCTGTATATTTTATCATATTATGAATACAACTAAATTTGTTTATACAACCGTATATGTTACTATTTCACAGCGTTTATAGTTCCTGACATATTGAATTGTTCTTCCAAAATGTGCCTATTACAGGATCTTTTTGAAAACGATGTAAAAACGTAAAAATTTTTTTCGATTTTGCCTTGAAACTACGTCAGATAAAAGTCAAAGCCAGTAGATAGATGATAGTATTTAAAGATATTAGATACACTATACAGAATGTTTAAAAAGTTCAGTTACTTTTGATGTTTTTCAAATGGCTTTTTCTTAAGTTTTTTAAATGGAACAGACTGTATATTGTGTGCTAGTTGAATTGCTCATCAAGTTCCCTTTAATTAATGATAAGTATGTCATATGTCTGACTTTAATAGTTTTCCTAATATTCAAGGTCCGATGAGTAAACGTACTGTATAAGGTTATCCAACCCATATGAACGCGTTGTTATGAACATATCCCTCCGCAAAGGCCTTGCTGTGACGTCATTGGAAGAATTAACATTTCTGTGTTTTTATTTATGCAGTGTATTTCACTTAACACGTTCGCTGCCCAGCGATACCGTTAACCACGGTTTACATGTAGTGGGCACCAAACGTGTTAAGAAGCAATATACAAAATAAAATAAAATAAAATTAAAAAAATATTAAAAATAAAGCGAAATATTAACGGTTATAATTTTATTATTGTTAGGTTATCCAACTTGACTCGGTTACCAATGGTGATTAAGATCCAAATCTGTACCTGAGAGCTAAAGGGGTGTAAGTCCACTTTTAACAAAAATGAACTAATGCTCAAATAAGAATGCTCTAAAACCCAGTATTTCATTTTTAGT